TATCTCCCTTCGAGCCAGACGTCATTTCCCCAAGGGGTACACGCGTTGTTTGTCATGCCTCAATCGTCGGTTTTCGTCGGTTTTTGTCCATCTCCGACTCTGGATTTGTTCCCCTTATCATACCCTTTTTTTCTTCTTTCAGATGGGTTTGGATGTTCGGACCTTAGTTGTCTATCAGCTCTAGTTGGACCCGAGGGTTATACTCTTGTCTTGGTTGCGCGTCCCTCTTTTTTTATGTTGCGGTCAACGCCACCGTTTGTTTAGACGGTTCTTTTCCATTTCTTCGCCCTTTATGTACTGCCCGGTGGTTGTTAGTATTGGCAGGGCGAATAGGTCTTTCGGTTCATTTCAGTCGGTACTCGGCGGCTTCAGGCGCCATCATGGCGGGCGGTTTTCTCCAGGACATTGTACACTTTCCTGCCGGTTACGGGAACTATCTTCGCTAAGTTAGGTTGGTACGGCGGATCGTGTTTATTTGGGCGTTAAAACAGCAAATATGAAGCTTCCTGTCATGTTATAAAAATGTATATTATACTAGCTTTAGTGTAACTATAATCTTAATTTTATTAATGGCACGAGGCGAATATTTCCCTCCCAGTTTCTCCCTTCCCTGGTTTGTTGGTTTGACTGACTTTTGTTTATTCCTGGTCACCTGGGCTAGGTTTGTTAATCTGGGTGAGTTGGGGTTTATGTTTTCTCAGTATCTGGGATATTATACTGTCAGTATTGATGATGGGGATTCATGTTTTTCTCAGTACATTTAATTCGCTAATCAGTGTTTTCAACTCTGTTTATCTCGTTTCAGTTTAATGGTTTGGCTACAGTTCTTAGATCCGACTACTCTACAGGATAAAGGTCAAGGCTTCATCCACTGGTTCCACGTTTCCAATTTCGGATGGCATTCATCGTTATCTTATGTTGTTTCTCTTGTTATTGTATTTGTGGTGTATCGTTCATGTACTTTATTTTGTTGCAGCATGAAAGAGGAATTAGTTGGTTGGGAGAAGCCTTTTAAGTTTTTTGTCTCTGGTGTTTTTCTCTCTATGTTAATGTGCTGCTGTGGAGTTCTAGTAAAGAGAGACTTAAGCAAATATTCGCCTCCTGTCATTAATAAAATTAAGATTATAGTTACACTAAAGCTAGTATAATCTACAATTCGTGATCGCTTTATAGATCCGCTGTGCAGCTTCTTTTAATACACTGTTGCTTTCAAACCACACTGAGGATCCTCACGGGTATGGAGTTCCATAGCTCACTTGCCAGGGTTAAATTGGGCCCTCATAACATTCCTGTACACGAGTTTTTCATCAATCAATCAATCAAATAATCACAAGGGAAGTTTTGTGCTGGGTATTTTTGGCAGACATCTATGTTTGGCAGACTTGCCTCTTAATCCAAAAATGTTGGCATTATGTATATAGATTTTGTTTTGCATACCTACCTCTATTAGTCTTGACCCTTGGATTGTCTTGGTTAATAGTATCACAGATGGGGGTGTGTGGCTAGCAGCCGGGCAAGATAGACGCTTGAAACTTTGCTCCGGTACATGGGCTCCACTGAGAACGATAACTAACCTGCAGAATCACCAGAATTGACCCCCTCAAGACAATGTCTCAACACAAAACAAAAAAGGGCACCTCCAGAGCTGAAAAGCTCAATTTCTTTGACCAGAAATCCTCCTCTGCATTTGAGGCTGTGCTGCAAGATGGCGCCGAAGACTCAGATGCCAGCAACCACATGCCAGCTACGGAGGACTTCACAACACACGACAGTTTAAGTAGGAGATATTTTGAACAAGCCCTAGATGCAATGTCTACCAAACTTATCCTTCATGGAAAACAACGGGGGACAAAATACAAAAAGAAATCCGGGACTTAACCACAAGAATGACACACATGGAGTTAGCATGTACTGACTTGGCCTCAGCACAAAACGTTCTGACGGACCAAGTAACGGCAATGCACAAGAGATTAGACCTTGTGGAATCTCGCATGGCTGACTCTGAGGATAGGGCAAGGAGAAATAAGCTCTGATTGCGAGGTGTCCTGGAATCTATCCTCCCCTGCGACCTCCAGGTGTATGTGCGAGGTCTCATGCATGCCTATGCACCGGAGATACATGCGTATATGCTGCTGGTATATATATGCCAAAACCCTGCCACTTAACTGATTCTGTACCAAGAGATGTGTTTCTCAGGGCGCATTACTACCACATCAAGGAACTCATTATGCGAGCATGCCAGAACAAAACAGACCCCCACAAGGATTACCCCACAGTGCGAATAATGGCTGACCTCTCCACAGCGACCTTGCAGCGCAGGAAAGAATTCCATCCCATAACTGAACAACTATGGGATCGAGGCATACGTTACAGGTGGGGATATCCCACAAAGATTTTGGTCACCAGGAAAGGCAGCACACATATTGTCGGCACACCAGTGGAGGACCAGCGGCTGCTTTGAGAATGGGGCCTGCACAACGAAACCACCCCCCGGGACACTCAACCCAGTCAGGCAAATCACCGCACACTGAACGGACTATCACCTAATAACCTATGCAGTGATGAATAGCCTCCATGGGCCGCAAATATACATGCTGAACATTGCTGTTGTTATTTAAACCTGAAACCCATCCAGTACTTATTCCGCCAACCTTTGTATTTCAGTTGCTGTTTAGATTTTATGTATTAATGAGTGTTGTTGTCTAACATAATATCCAAACAAGAACAGTGCTCATTTGACTTTTGAGTGCTGCCCGATAACTACCCACTATGTTTAGACATAACGAGCGGGAAAATGACAACTTAATAGGTTGGGCTTAATAACCCATAGACACAGCAACACCAGGGGCAGCACCTTATCCCGCTCCCCCTCCCAATACCAGGTGGCAAGCGCTCAGCCCTACAAAACCCTGACTTTGAAATATCAGCACACTGACCGACTTCGGCCACTATACTTTCTGCCTAAGCCTACAGTAGCCAGGACGATTGTCTGACCCCTATGCCCACTAGACACACTCACTGCAACCCAACGGCCATGACGTGCTGATGGTCTGGGACCTACCGTTGTAATACACCCTGCCTTGAGAGACCATTGAGAGACTGCAGCCTTTTAGGGGTGCATAACCCTAACCCATTCTATTGTCCTATAGGTGAAGGTCCACTAAGCAACTTCCACAACTCTGGGGGCCAAGCTGGAGGATGGCCATTACACCTTTTGAGGCAAATTGACCACATATGTTGTAACATAATATCGTTCTCGACCTGAGGTTATCCACGCAATGTTTATATTGTTTTTCGTGTTTGGAATTTTTGGTTTTGTTTAATTGTTCATTGTGATGACAGCAGTTACCTGCTGATTGTTGGGCTGGGCTTATATGCCCGGACGTATGTTCATTTAATATACATTATCTTTGTGAGTGCCACTACTCTATAGAGTAATGGGTCCATTGTGAAGACACCAAGGTCACTCCACAGCACCTCAAACTAGTATATATGGGTGTCCGCAGTCCGCGGCAGGCACCAGTACAGATTAACCTGGTTCAGGTGTGCCACGCAATGCTCCAGTCTCTCTTGGGGTAGAACGGGGAGGTGTCAGGACATGCGGACCTGCCCTTCTCGAAGATGCCCCGTGTGTACTGCCGCGGGCTGTTAGACATATAACCGAAATAGATACTGTAGCAAACATAGCCACTTAGACTATATCAAGAGACTGTTGCCTATATGTCGGTGGGGATATGTGTTCAACTATGTATATTGTATGCTGGCTGTAATACCTTGAATTGCCTGTAATTGCTATCTGCCAAATGCAGATAGCTATTTGTATGGGGTTTTCCTTTCGTTTCACGAACGGCACTTTGGCGGGCCGTTCGTGAACCGAAAACACTACCCCTAATAGCCCACACACTTAGAGGCGTGTGGCGCTTGTTAACCGATTGCAACAAGGTTGCAATCGGTAATTAGAGGCTCTCCTGGGTGGCCGTCGTTCGACTACCGATCATGCGGTGGTCGGCCATCTTGGATCCTTTGTTCCCTCAGCGGTGTTAGGTCGTTGAGCGCATGGTACTAAAAACGGCTACTCGACGGCACGAACACCGCTGAGCCTCCAAGACGTTCGGGAGTTCCGGGCCGTTCGGTATTTCATTCCCTGGAAGGCAATCGGTCTTTTGAATATGTTTCTTAATGAATGTGTTTTTCATGCGGCGTTCGGTTATTTTAGCTGGGATCTGAGCGGTCTGCGCTTAGACCCCAGCTATCTACCGAACGTCCATTCGTGCAAATACACTGTATATTCGAAAAGTTACAGATTTTTATATAAATTGTCGGTTCTGCTGCACGGAGGGATAATCCACTTAACAGTATATTCTAGGAGGAGGATCCCTCTCGTGCAGCAGTGCCTGATGGGAGAAATGCTTTGTACTGTAAGTTCCCCATGTAGTCCTCTCTGGGAATGCCCCTGGGAAGGGACTCAGGAAACCCCTTGCATGGGGACTTGTATAAATTGTGCAGCAGAATTAAAGGACTTCAGTTGACTCTCAGAACTGTGTTTCGTCCGGTTACTGGGAGGTTGGGGATATTGCCTTGTTGTTTCAGCGCTTGACTGTGGATTACTTCCTGAACCAGCGGAATTTGTGGATTTAATATTGGCGTTCCGCTACAGATACAACCACTCACAAAACATACAAGTCCCCTCCTGCAGTACCCAAACAACTGTGCCAACTCTGCAACCACAAAATTTAAATAATCGGAGCTCACCAGTCATTACATAGGAGGTTCTATCCCCTAATCCTCCCGAGTACAACACCCTCGTACCGAGACCACGAGTAGTTGTTTTGTACATATTCTACCCTTCCCTAGGTGCAACCTACAACCTCTCTCAAGTTCGTATCCTTTACCTTCCCAGCCCCACCCTCCTCCCCCCCATTCCCTTTATTGTCTCGACTAGCAATTTGAAAAGACACAATTAGTGCCTGGCACCCGTATTCCCACAGGCAACAGTCCCTTACACCCCAACCCGGTCTGACCCAGAGCCATGAAGATCTATTCCCAGAATGCCAAGGGCATAAACACCTCCCACAAATGATGCATACTGCTAGAGGATGCCAAACACATCCAAGCAGATATAGTATGTGTGCAAGAAACACACTTTGTCACCAACAGAGTTCATCCATTTGGTCTTAAAGAGTATCCATGCCAATACCATGCTACACACTCATATAAATCCAGGGGAGTTTCTATCCTAATGCATAATTCACTCTCAATAGAACTGCTCAACATAAAAAAAGACAGCCAAGGTAGATACCTAATTCTCCATTGTATTATCAACAACCTCCAATACACACTAGTAGGACTATACAGCCCCAGTGACCAACAATGTAATTTTCTACATAAAGTGTTAGCAAAGCTGCCCAACGCTACAGATAGTCAATTATATGTGGGGACCTTAACCATATACACTCAATTCTAGAGTGGACACAACCATTTCTGTCTCCTTCCTGTCTCCTTGGACAGACACGTCAAACTAAAACCCAACTGTAAAGCACTGACAAAATTACTTATGGAACATGGCCTGTATGACGCCTGGATAACCAGTCACCCAAATGATAGGGAATATTCTTATAATTTTGCAGTGCACAAAACATACTCAAGAATAGACCTCAAATTACTGACGGGCTCTCTTCTACTGAACATAACTCAATGCGAAATGAGCAACATGTGATCGTGTGATCAGACCATGCTCCACTGACCAGATCGTGTGGTCTGACCATGCTCCACTACACTTAAAACTACGAGACAATGACCCACACAGAGGCAAACCACCTTCGCGCCTCAACGACTCCCTTCTAAACGATGGCCCCTTTGTACAGCAACTCACAAAACAATTACAAACGTACTTTGAAACCAACAACACACACAACATAGGCCTATTCTCTGCCTGGAAGACCCACAAACCATTAATCCGAGGGTTGTTGGTCAGCCGAGCATCCTATCTCAAATGCACATCTCAACGAGAGCAGTTAGACCTTCTCCGCAAACTGAGGGACGTCACCAATGCCTATCTAATCAACCCAAATGATAAACAAGTGCAACTTATAGTGGACACAACCAACCGCATCAATGAAATTACCTTATCTGAGACAGCACTCATTTTTACCAAACTAAAATTAAAGACATATACACAAGGTAACAAAGCAGGGAAAACACTAGCAGGCAAGAAACTACACAATCCACAAGATATAAATGATGAAATGGCGGCGTATTACCATTCACTTTACAACCTTAAAGATGATAACACCTTGCACCAACCATCCGACCAAGACATCGCAGACTTCCTGAACTCAACCACACTGCCGACACTGACGCTAGCACACATAGCATCCAAAACAAAAAATCTTAGACACAATCCAATCTCTCCCCACAGGGAAGTCCAGATGGTCTCACAAACTACTTCTATAAAAGATTTGTGACATCCTGTTGTCTCTGGAACAACCACACATCTCTTTACCTAATTTTCACACCCTTCTGGCCCAATACAGCAAATACTCCTATTGCAAACTTCACTTAACTTGGCACCCCATCTAGAGAAAATCTTCAACTACATTCTCAACACTGGGACTATACCTGCAGAAATGCAAATGGATCACGTTGCCACACTCCCGAAACCGGGTAAGCCCCCTAACGGGAGTCAGAACCTGAGACCCATATCCCTGTTGAACACAGATCTTAAACTGAGCAAAAATTTTCTCTAACAGCTTAGCCCCCATCATCCCGTAGCTAGTTCACAAGGTCTAAGTGGGTTTTGTGGGAGGTAGACTGGGAGCTGATGGCACCAGAAAGGTACTGGACCTCCTACATAGCCCTAGAGTGCTACTGTCTTTGGACGCGGAAAAAACCTTTGACAGGCTGCACTGGCACTTCCTTCTTGCAGTCCTTACAATATTTGGCTTCCTGCCCAAATTTACATGTCTTATCATTGCACTATATCCCAAGAGCCAGAGTTGTAAATGCAGGTTTTATCTCCTGTCACTTCGATATATCCAATGGGTCTAGACACGGATGCCCATTTTCCCCACTGCTATACATACACTAGAACCACTCACACAGAAAATACGGGATGACCCCAACATACACGGCATCAGACTTCACAGTCAGGAATACAAAATGACGACATCCTATTGACTGTGGAACAACCACACATCTCTTTACCCAATTTTCACGCCCTTCTGGCCCAATACAGCAAATGCTCCTATTACAAATTCAACTTAACGAAAACATTAGTGCTGGGCATCAATATTCTCAAACAGGACATGACACTTCTAAAACAAAAAATTCACTTATGATTGGAGGCAAGATCATATTAAATTCTTAGGGATACACTTTACTCCCACTACTCACGCTTTACACAAAGCAAACTATTCGAAATTGCTCTGCAAACTTAAAAGCATAATACAAGAATGGAAGGGAAAATTCATTTTCTGGTCAGGGAGAATTGCAGCAACAAAAATGACCCTTTTGCCAAAAATTCAGTACCTCTTTAAAATCCTCCCACTCAAACTCAATACAACATACATCATAGAATTACAGAAAATCCTGAACGCATTTTTCTGGGGGAATATAAACCCCGGGTGGCGAAATCGACCTTGTATAAAATATTCACCCAAGATGGAATGGGACTGCCAGATATGTTAGGATACTATAGGGCCGCACACATAGCTACTCTATTATCAGCATTCCACCATCCGAACCTGCTAGCATGGACACGAATTGAAAAAGATTATACAGGGGGATCCCCGTAATAACATTGGCATGGATACCCACTGCAAAACGACCAAAATACCAACATGCACTACCCACGATGACACTCACCCTACATATTTGGGACAACTAATGCAAAAGATTGGTCATGGAGGACAAAATATCACCTGCCCTAAGGATTGCCCTCATTGCAGCTCTTACGGTAATTCAAACCCATGGCCAGATGTTTCTGTACATACGCCAAACACTGGTACGCAGTGGGAACAGTGGGACACCCAAAAACCCAACAGAAGTATTTCATCCACTCCCTCCAGCACACAATGCCACCACAAATAAACCGGTACAAATATTAACCTAAGCTCGAGATTCCAAGTTACATCCCCCACCCTTCCCTCACCTAGGAACCATTTCTGGTTACAAAGGCTTCACTAAGCCCACCATGGAAGATTCAATGGACACAACTTGCACTGAGAATGCCACAAACTGCCTTCTGTGGAGCTTGTAGTCCCACAGGTCTGACGCTTGGTTGGCCAAGCCTGGAATGCGTTATTTCCCTTAAGGCATTATAGCACACATAAGGTGAATCTGCTATACAGGGCATTCAAGGAGACTTAAAACAAAACATGAACTTGTAGAATCATGTAAGATATCCCTCGCATAACATCCCTTTCCCTCCTGTACCTCTGTACCGCATGGGAAAGTCCATTGAAATATTTGCAAATGGTAATACAGATGAAAACCACAAGCAGCGGAATGTGTCCATACAAGGGCAATTACTCTGTTGACAAAGCCTTTTAAATGGGAGAGTAACTAGGCCGCACACTACATTGTTAATAGTGAATTATGACATTGAAATGTTTGTTTATTGCATACGAGGTACATTCTGCATTTACTGTCCCAACCAAACACAATATGTCATTGTTGAATGGATGTACTGTACTAGATGTGTTATACTTAAACTCCCCTCTCCCTTTTCTTTTCTGTACCCTCATCTTACTAAGACAAAATAAAAATTGTCGAATTGAAAAAATAGTATATGTGCTATTGCAAGCCTGTGCATTACTAAAGTGTGGCAGGGGGCTGGTCCACTTATTTAGTAAAGTACATTAGAGGGTTTACTTCTCACTATGGAACAAAAATGACTTTATTGCATAACACTGTAGCTTGTAGAAAGATCAGGGAATCATGGTTGTATAAATACCCAAATATATCTCAATGCCAATATCCTCCAATGAGTTAGGTAGCTATTAGACCAAGGTCATTCTGCATATCGAGGATTTATTTTTTTCCTTTAAGTGAGGGTTTGGAAAATAAATTTGTTAGTGTTTGGGAAATATGTTTATGTGTTGTTTATCTTGTTCACACACTGGGGTGTTTGCTATATACATAAATAAAGCATATAGGGTACTTTTTTCTGATACAGTGTTTATATCACATAGATAACAAAATATAACATTTACCCGCTGTTTGTTTTAAGGGTAAAAGGGTGGAAGTCCAACATGTCCCTTTGAAGCTACTTTTTTAGAACTTAAGTTGCCCCTTGAAGGTTCTCTAGATCTGAATATGATCAACAGTGCATACACGGCCGGTGCAAAGACTTTTAACTACACAGGTGAAGATGCATTTTCCGGCACCCCCCAATTTCCCTCTTCATCTGTGTGTCCTTTAATCCCCTCTTCAATTTCTTACTCCCTTTGGTGTTTATTATCTTTTCTTTTAAATGTCTTAGGCCCTTTAATATATCTTATCTTATACCCCATTTTTACCTTTGTGTAATAAAAACAACAAACCCAATGTTTAGATGATGGACCCCAACACCTAAACATTAACTTGAGAGTTCAGCGCTATAAAGAATAAACACTTAGCCCTCAAACAGTAAAGGGGGCTGATCTCATATAAAAATAAATAAAAGAAAAAAACTCAAAATTGTGACATTGTACAAGATGTGAAAATATAGAAATATGGGGGTCTTATTTTTATTTCATTTTTATTTTACAAGCACGCACTGGCCAGTGGCACTCACACACTCACACTACTGAGTGTTTTTTACCTACTTGTCCACTGGCTGCTAGCACTGCTAGTGTGCATATAGACCTCATCATTTTTGTTCACTTGCAGAAACCAAGCGGACAACTATTTGTGAATGTGTGTGCTACCGGATGTATTTAGTCCCGAATTTGCTTAAAATGGTGTTTTTGTACAATTTTTAATTCTATACTTTCTATAGAATTCAGATCTGAAAACCACAGATTTTAAATCAGATACCAAATGCATCAAGCCAAATGATGCAGATTTAAGAAGAAAACCACAGGCAGCACTCCAGGATATAGAAGGTGAATTTATTCATGGGTTCACCACCTCACCAACCTACGAATACATTCACCTTCTATATCCTGGAGTGCTGCCTGTGTTTTTCTTCTTTTGTACTACATTGATGGATTCAGCGGTGTCCATCCTATACACAGAGTGCCCCATTGGTGGAAGGCTGGAGCACATGTGCAGGACCTGAGTGCAGGGTATTCTGTTTTTGTTGAAATAATGCAGATTTGTCAGGAATGCTGAATTTGTATTGTATTTGGCTTTAGTAAAAGTGAGAATTTCAATTAAACCATTTGCTCTGTATTTTGTCCCTCCATTTGATGTATAGTGAATAACTCTGTATAACCAAACCTAATCCTGTATATGTACCTGAAAAAGAAAATTTGTATGAAACTCTATGTTGCATGATTAACAATGGTGACAAGAGTTAAACCAGATTTTAAGTTGTCAATGTCTACATTCTATCACACTACTGCAAGAAAATGTGTTATTTTTGGCTTGTGATTGCATTAAAAACACTCATGCAGGGGGCGGGGTTGGGCTGCCGAGCTGAAAGGCAGCAGAACACCATGGCTCCTGGCCTGAGTCTGGGAAATCTGCAATAAATCCACATTTAGACCACCCCAAAGTAGAAATAATCGACATATAATTAATGAGAAACACCCAAGCTTCATGGGGATACCAAACTGAGGCCGGGAACACCGAAAATAATGAAGCGGCCTACTCACCATCATAAACCTGGACGATGGCAGTCCCTCAAGATGCACAGATAACTGACCAGCAGCCCAGAGATAATGGTATACCAGCTATAATGCCTACATGGGGGCCACACCATTGTGGATGATGGCCCGGCTCCGCTCCCCCCCACTCCCCGGCCACATGGAAGCGGCACACTCCGGGGCGGAGGAAACCACGCGGGATCCGAGCCGTCCACCTGAACGGGCAAAGGCTACCGGAAAGGAGCCTGCCCGAAGACTCACTCCAGACACCAAAGGGGTCTGACATGGGCGGCTCATACGGGCCCTGGTAAAGCCGAGCGCTGGACGGATCCTCCATGTTGTGTCATTGACCGCTGGAGAGTGGGCGCCCGAGCCTCTGGGTTTGTGGGTTCCCCAGAGAGACCTGTCCCCGAAGCCATGAGCCCTGTGGGGTGGGACCACGCTATCCTCCCGACAGACCGGTGGTCGTGGGGGATGGGCACCGGCTCCAAATGTGTGGCCGGCACCGGGTGAGACATTGGAACACACACTTCAAGGGACTCACGTGGAGCTGGGGAGGTGCAGGGAGCGGACAACCAGTGGACTTTGTGGTGGGGTCCAATGGACAGTTTGTGCTCCTGAGTGCCCACGGTGCCACGGGGGGCTTGACCGGTGAGCAGAAATTGGCATTGGGA